GATCCGTTGATGCCGCACCAGTTGGGAGCTGCTGCCGAAACGCCGCCCGCACTGGGAGCAACCGTAGGGTCGCTCACCCGTGTGGGTCCGCTTATGGCGCGCCAGTTGGGAACTGGTGCCGAAGCAGCGCCCGCACTGGGAGCAGTCGTAGGGTCGCTCGCCGATGTGAGTCCGCCAGTGCTGCACCAGCTCCGAGCGGCTCTTGAAGGTCTTCTCGCACTCGTCGCACTTGTAGGGCCGCTCTCCGGAATGGATGCGGTGATGGGCGGTCAACGTTGACCTGTGCCGGAAGCTCTTCCCGCATTCCTCGCACCGGTAAGGTCGCTCGTCCGTGTGCGTCTTCTGGTGCCGTAGGAGGGTGGAGCTGAACTGGTAGCTCTTCCCGCATTCAGGACACTTGTAGGGCTTCTCAGGAGCGTGGACGCGTTGGTGGGTGAGAAGGCTGGAGTGGCTTCTGAAGCGGCGTCGGCAGTCCTGGCAGCTGAAGGGGCGTTCGCCCGCGTGGATCCGCTGGTGGTTCACCAACGACTTGCGGCAACGGAAGCTCTTCCCGCATTCCCGGCAGGTGTTGGGTGCCTCGCGGCTCCCGGTGTCCCCCGGGAGTGGGGATCCTCTGGGATGGGCACTTGGGGACCGCTGCTGGCTGGAGCTTGGGGGTTCCACAGGAGCATCCTGCTGCCCGTTCTCCTCCTCCTTGATTGACCCCAAACCTGTTGGGGAGAGAGAACGTCCCCAGCAGCCCTCTCCGGCTGGGAGAGGGTTAACGAGGAGCGGGGACGGGGAACGCCACAACTCATGGCTCAGGGAAACGGTCAGCCAAGAGCGAGGTGGTCCCAGCAGAAGATCAAGGCTCCAAGGCAGAAGCCACCTGGAGAAGGGTTGGGGACGTGGTGGGAGGAGGGATGGGGTCATAGTGGGAGGAAGGATGGGGACATGGTGGGAGAAGAGATGGGGTCATGGTTGGAGAAGGGATGGGGTCACGGTGGGAGAAGGGATGGGATCACGGGAGATGGTGGACAAGGGATGGGGTCACGGTGGGAGAAGGGATGGGGTCACGGTGGGAGGAGGTATGGGGTCATGGTGGGAGGAGGGACGGGGATATGGTGGGAGAAGGGATGGTGTCATGGTGGGAGGAAGGACGGGGACATGGTGGGATGGGGACATGGTGCAAGAACAGTTGGGGTCATGCTGGGAGAAGGGTTGGGGCCTGGTGGGTGGAGCGGTGGGGTCACAGCGGGAGAAGGGACGGAGACACTGCGGCAGAAGGGTTGGGGTCACGGTGGGAGAAGGGATGGGATCATGGTTGGAGAAGGGATGGGGACACCATTGCAGAAGATATGGGGACATGGTAGGAT